TCAATTTATCCAATTTGGTATTAATACTACAGTAAAATTGGGACAGAAGCATTGTCACTTGGGAAAAGGTAAACCTTGCACAGAAACACAACTGTTTACTTTGTTTTTCTAAAACATGTAAAAAAAAGGTATTTTTTGATATATATATAAATTGTAAAGTTGATCATTGTCTTGCCATATTATTAGTCTGCTATTGGCAGAAATTGTTTCTGGAAAAATTTTGATATGTATTTGATATGTATGTAAATTTTGAATGTTGATCATTGTTTTGCCATACTATATTTGATAGTCTAGTGTTTGCAGAAATTGTTTCTGAGGAAATTTGATATTCTGGTATTTGCAGAAATTGTTTCTAAAGAATACGAAAACCTTTTTTTGTTTCCAGTAACAGCTCTCAACAGATTCTAATTGATTGAACTTTTGATATTGGAAAATATTTTCCACAAGAACCAAATAGAGTGATTTTACTAAGTTTTTTTTTGAAATACTACTGACATTATTGTTTGTTTGATTCAAAGCCAGTTTCTTTTCTTTAAATGACCTGGATCCACAGGGGTGATCTGGTGATGGGAAACCCGCGGGGATTACAATCGAGATGAAAAAAAAAATGTGCAAAATGATGTAAAAATAAACTTTGTAATAAAAAAATAAAAAAAAAATGACCTGGATCTACAACAATATTCTAATTTTTTTTTCAACAGAGCTAATTTTTGTTTCTATTTCTTCTCTCCCCTTGATATCAACACAATATAAAAACTGTAGTAGTAATTTTTACTACTCACGAGACTGTTTTTGCGTAACTTCAACAGGGTATTTTGTATGTGTAAACTATAGAAATTGGCGATGTGCTTCAGTGGCTTTCCTTGGCATTCTCCAGGAACTTCAAACAGAGCTGAACGAATAAGATCAGCATCTGCTGCTTTGTTTGTAGGGTTCCAGAGGCCTCCAAAGAAGGTGAGGAAGCTTGCCTCCATTGGAAAGCCTGGACTGAACAATATTGAGCCCTGGTAACCTCGAGAAGAGGTGACCCCAGGTGGAATCTACTGGAACTGATGTTGTTCCTTAAGCCTACATCAACTGGACATCGACTGTTTGCTCTGATACTATGGACTATTCCAACAAGGCCATCTAAAAATTGCTCTTTGGTTTGTCTACCCTGTGATTTTATGCAAAAATAGAAATACAGTTAAATGTTAGCTTGAATTTGTAAGTACATTATTAGATTAAGTTGGAATCAAGGTTGAGAGAACTTGTTTTTACAGAAGTTAGACCAGTTTTTGAAGATTTTTGCTTGTTCCTGTTATTTTGATATACATATATTGCAACATTTTTTTCTCTTCACCTATAATGATGGACTATTTCACAGTAATGACCATCATCCTTGGCATTCATGAACACTGCTGGTGACTGCTGCTGCTTTTGCATATGCTGGAAACCTTACAAAGACTGGAAGTGTTACAAAGACTATCTATGAAGACTACACCCTGTGATCTGTGCCACCATAGATATGGTGGTATGAATCAAAAGGGGGGAATTGTTAAGGGGAAGGATGTCCTAAAGGAACTCTGCAGAGTCTTATGGACTCGACTGCCTACTCCAGTTTTCTGGACCCTACACACTACTCCAGTGATTTGAAACTATGACTCCCCTCAGTAACAGGGAGAAAACTGTGAGGATCCAAGGGCGAGGCTAGCAGGAATTCTGAGACATTTGGGGGGTAAATAGGGTGTGATTGGATCTCACACTCTCTCACTTGGGAAGCAACTCTCCTGATCTCGTGTATTCAGTCAGCCTAGCCTTACATTGTATCCCGCTCTCTTTCCCTGGGTTGTTTCCTATTCCTTTCCCCTTTTTGTAAATAAACCCGTTATTGACCATTTTGTGTATGCCTGCAGTATAACTGAGTTGTGAGCGTGCAGGTGAGTCCCCACAGATGGGTGGCCCAGTCCACTCTGGGCTACCTTGTAACAGTTTTTCAAAACAAAGCTTTCTCTTGCAAGATGGTACTGTGGCTTTGTAGGGCCCACGGGAAAACAGCATTTTCTCAGACTGTTTTTTGCTGTGACTGTCCAGCACAGGTGGCCTAGTAGAGAACATGCAGCCTTGAAATAATAAGGTAATCTTGATATATAGTTTGCATGCTTGAAACATACTTCTCTAAACTGGGCCCCAACTTGGCCCTGTGCTAGCTTTCTTTATAAATCATATAAAAGCTAATAGGTTTCGGGCCCTCCCTGGTGGTGCAATGTGTTAAAGCACAGCACTATGATGTGAAAAGCAGTTACTTCATGAATTCGATCCCCAGCCCCAGAGGTGACCCACATGGCGTGGCAGACTCTCCTAACCTGCCCACTGCTCCCCTAGCAGTGTACTTTGTCAATCTACCTGTTCTGCAACTACTCTGTCTCTGGTGAATCCTCTCACTGCCCCTGCACCTCTGGCCTGTACCCAGTTCTGTATGCATAAATAAATAAATCTTTTTTTTTTTTAAAGCTAATAGGTGTCTTACTGGCCACTCACAGGGATCAGGACCATTACTGTGGCCAGATCCCAGGGGCTACCACTGCTGGATGCTGTTGCTGTTGTTACTGCTGCTACTATTACTGCATTTGCTGCTGATGCTAACAGGGACTAAGGGCCCATTAAAGCCCTGGGAGCCAAGAGAGCCCAAGGGGGCACAGAGGGGCTGCCACTGCCAGGACCAGTATGGGGCTGTTGCCACCTGAGACACTGGACCAGGCTACTCCTGCCAAGCCAACCAAACAGACTGTGTTCTTACTACCTGTGTATGTCCTGTTGCTGCAATAAAGTCTTGTTCTTTCTTCCCACAAATGGGCTTTGTGACCTGCTTTTTCATCTAACATCACCGTGAACTAGGCACACTTGTAGCTGAGGCCCTATACATGGTGACAAGGATAGGATGGCATGCATAGTTCATAAATATGAAATACTTGGTGTCACAAACAGGATGCAGCATAGACAGGTATGGAGCTTAAGACTTGGACTGAGAGATGACTGGCCATGAGCATGTAGTAATTTGTGGACAGCTTCCTCTCTATGCAGGTAACTTCCCAGAGTGGACTAAGGTTGATGGGTCACCAGTGCAAAAAAGGAAGGCCCCCACATGAGCAGGGCCTGGACCAGCAAGAGCCACCCTATACATGGTGGAGGAGACAATGGGTCAGAAATGTGGCTGTTTGAAGGTAGAGATGGGCATGCTCCCTCCCAGCTTTGTAGGCAAAGCCACAGAAAGCACAGGAGCTGCAGGATGAGCTGGGCCCAAGGGAAGAAGGGGAGGTGAGGTTCAGACTTCCAGGTCCTTGTCCCAGGGCAGGTGGAAAACCCCATTCTGACAGTTTCTAGAGGGCAGGCATGCCCACATCCTGATAAGTCATGGATATGTCATGTAGTTGTTAAGTCACTTTGCAGATAGCTCTGTTCCAGTAGATCCTCCAGCAGGGTGGGCTCCAACTCCAGGACAAGGGTGCTGCAGAAGCATCTTGAGACCTCATGTGGAGAAGAAGGCAGAGGACTGACCCATTACTCCAAGACAGCAGATTCATCGAAGGAAAGGAGGACTTCAGTCTGTCATTTGGAATTCACCCAGTAGTAACACAAAAGATACAACTGATAAATTTGTACAGATAATTCCTCCAGAAGGTGGGGACCTTAGCAGCTTGGTTCTTATGTTTGTGAGACCTGGGAGTAGATGGGATCACTTGCATACCCCAGGAGATGGAAATGAAGGGGTAGCTGGCAGGCAGGGATGGCCTGAAGTAGTCTTGTGTGATGCCCAGCACTCTCAGGGCCACGCTGTTGTGCAGGAAAGAAGCTGCACCCAGCAGTCCAGTGAGCTGTGGCAGGCACATCCCTGCACAACACCTGCCCTGCAGACAGGCAGAGTGAAAGCAGGGCCAGGCAAGAGAGCAGCATGAAGCTGGTTGAGGGAAAAAGCCCTCACAGAATCTCTGGAGATGTGACAAAAGCTATTCTAGATAAGGCAAAAAAAATATCACCAGGGCAAAATAAATTTCAAGCAGTTACTTGGTAGTGGAAAAGGATGTCCCTCCCCCCCCCACACACAAAACAAACAAACAAACAAAAAAGACAAGCCTCTTAGAGACACAGGTACCTAAGTGTGGATAAATTTGCTAGAGGCTGCCAGACCAGCAGAAAAATAAAACCTAAAAAAAAGTAAGTAAAAGAGGGACAGAGTGAAAAAGAACAGTAGATGTAGAAAAACAAAGGGAGGAAAAAAGAAACTAAACATGAAAAAAAGAAAAAAGAGACAGAGACTTAATAAAAAAACAAACAAGAAAGTGATATGAGAGAGAGAATATAAAAAGGAGACATATTAAAAAGCTCTAAGAGTAAGATTAAAAACAGAGATTGTCCAAAATAAAGAACTGTTATAAATGAGGATGCTGTAACTCTCCAGTAAGGTGCACAAACCATGCTTCTTAAAGACCATTGTGTGTAGACCCTGGCTGGGCCAAAGAAGATGATCTTTTACTTTGAAACAGGGCAAGGGCCAAATAACCCAGCCAGGAGGGATGGATGGGGTCTGGACCTGTGGAAGAATCCACCCTATGGACACTTTGTAGCCAAGGAGTCCTGGTAAGGGTGGTACTTTCCCCTGAGGGTTGGGTGATCAACTCAATGGTGTGTCAGGTGAATGTGCCACCTATCCAAAAGTAAATCTACTCCAGGACTCATCGCTCCAGACCATGGCTAGAGAGATATACCAGGGCCTGTGGCTACAGACTGTGGCTAGAGAATTTCACCTTAGGAAATGTGTGGTAACGGCAATGTTGCAAAATGTACTGAACATTTGCCTATCCAACTGGAAGTCCTTAGGCAAATGACCAACACCAGGTAGTACCAACTGCTAAATGGCCATAAAGAGGTCATGGACACTACTGGTATTACAATAAGTACAACATGAACAAAGAGAGCATGGTGGGGTTTCCATGACACTGGCAACTTTTTTTTTCTTAACAAATCAAAGTTTTTTATTTGCATGGCTGACTGTCATTTGTACTCATTGCAACTTTAATAGCCCTTTAAGGTTCTATGCTTTTGTTATCCAAGAAATAAAAGCTGCAACACTTAAAATTTCCTTCAACAGCCACTCCTACACACCTAAACATGAAACAGATGTAACAAGTGACAACAGCACACACTAAAATACTAAGTTCCATCATTCAACACAGTCCATGAGTGTCTGTAGGATTCTGTTGAAGAGGGGGTAACTTTTTCTAAAAAGAGGGTCATTTTCCTCCCTCCACCCCTATTTTAAAATGTTGGTGATTTTAGTCTGTATTTCTTTGCAACTTTTGTCTGAGCATGGGCAGCATCACAGAGTGAGTACAGATGAGCAATCTCCATTTCCGATTTGGCCAGGTTAATAGCCTTTTTGAACATGTCAATGGCTTTCTCCATGTTTCCTCTTTGTACTTCAATACTTCCCATGGTTTCATAGGCAAACTCACATTTATTGTCGATCTCAATTGCCTTGCTGATAAGCTCCAAACCTTTATCCAGATCTTGCTTTCACTGAAGTTGAAGTAAACCTTTATGAATATAAGTTGTAGCATTATCTGGTTCCAAATCAATACATTTATCATACATTTCATCAGCTTTAACAAACTACTGTTGATCTGTTAATGCCTGAGCATACAGTGCATATCCCTTAGCACACCTTGGAAATTTCTTTATGACTTCTTCAAAACCTTTCATAGCTGCTTGGATTTGTGAAGAATTGTTTCCTGTATATGCCTGACGATATAGTGCAAAACATTTCTGAGCCTGTGCCAGAGCAGATTAAGGTCTTAATCTAATACATTCATCAAAGTCTCCCACTGCTTCTTCAACTTGATTAAACAATATTTTCAGCTGTCCTCAGTGGTGATAAACATCTGCATTCTGAGGATCAATGTCAGCAGCCATGTTAAAATCCTGAGTAGACAGCAAAGGCTGCTGCTGCTGCATGTATATGCTGCCTCTTTGAATAAGTGCATTTGCTCAAAGCTTCACATTAGCTTCTTTCAAACTGATGACCTTATCTAAATCTGGCTTGGCTACATTGGCATTGCCAATAAGTAGGTAGAAAGTGGCACGTAGTAATAATGCTTCTGCGATGTATTTGCCTTGAGCATCTATGTCTTTTGAGCATTCACTTATGATTTTATCATAGTTTTCTTCTTCCATATATTGTTTGGCCTTTAAATATCCAGAATTTTCTTTCACTTCTAAAGCTTCCCCTTCCTTATCTTTATCTTCATCAGACTTTTCTCCTTTAAGCATGGGCTGAGAAATTATATTATCCATGAAAAAACTGAAATAAGATTTGATAAACTGTGGAGATGGCATCAGATGTTCACGATTCTTGTATTTTTCTTTGGCTTTCTCTTTTCCAAGAAGTTTAAGAACTTTATCGGCTAACAGCATGCTTTGTTGATTTTGGAATCTTTCTAATATACACACAGCAGTGACGTATTCTAAACATTCCTTCTTATTATCTAGCTTCTCCTGGGCTTTTGCAGGTCTAAAGAGAGCTTTCACATATTCGGGATTAAGTTCAACAGCCTTTGTGCAATCTTGTGCCACCTCTTTCCATTTTTGCAACTGTTCAAAGGCAGCAGCTCTGTTTTGATAAAACGTGGAACGGTCAACGTTCTTCTCTGTAGGACACAAACTGATAGCCTCAGTATAGCACTGAATAGCTTGTTCATTTTTTCCTGCTTTGAAATACTTGTTGCCTTTGTTCTTGGTTGCTTGGGTTCTATCTAGAGAATTCATTTCCAGGTGAGCACCGGGGCCTTCAAGGTGTCCGCTGCCCGGTGCTGGACTGACTCTGCCCTCCAGGGTCGTATGTTCACTGTTGCACTTCAGGCCACTGGTGTCGCCACGACCTCTGGCCTCCCTGCGCCACCGCTGCTGGCTCCATAGATACATGGCACCCACACCTAGCAGCAGGGGTGCTCTGACCTCCAGGGCCAGCTGCCATCGCGGCAGGCCCCCAGCGCCCGGGCCCGCCACCGCCACCGCCCACCGCAGTACCCGAGCCGAGCCGGACGCAGCCGCTGCAACCACCGCCGCCTCCATTGGCTTAGAGGCGGCCATGACGAGTGTCCTCCACCACCCCCTTTCTGGCCTTTCTGCCGGTCGCGGGGCACCACAGTCACCAGACAGCATGCGAAGGGAGACAGAAAGAAGGGAGCGAAGGGAAGCTGTGTGCGAGCGAGCACGCTAAGCAGGGCACTGGCAACTTTTTTACAAGGAACTCAAAGATGAGTAACTATGCAGGTATCACTGAAAAAAGCATAGTGTGGATGGCACTCTTTGTTTCCTGACTTAGTCATATCATTACTGAGAATTAACATCCAATAAAATGTCTAGTTTGAAGAATAAAAATAAGACAATGTGAGGCAGCTATAGTTAGAGATAATGGAGTTAAGAAAAACTATAGTTGGAAACACTTCATCTAACAAAAGAGAAAAAGCCTGGAGACCACCACCAACCCGGGAAAGCTAGAGACATCTGAGAGGTCCAGACAGAGACAAGTGGGCCTCTTGGCACAGGACACAGTACTGGGTGTGAGCCCCTTTGTTGTGCTTCCCTCTCCACCCCCTCCTGGAAACCTGCAGGAAAATTTAACTGGTCTCACTTACCAGGACATCAGGGGGCTCCTCCTAGGATTGGTCCCTACTTCAGGGCCTCCTGGTACTCTTACCCCTCAAGTGCAAGGAGGTCTCAGGAGCTCCAACAACCTCCCAACTACTTCACAGGCCCAGAAAGAGTACTAATCTTCCCACACCCACATCTGCAGTTCAATCCATGCTCTTGTGTGCTCATTTTCTTTTACTCTTCCCACAACACTCTACAAGGGACATAGTACCCCTACTCAGCCCTTTGGTCCTCCCCAGCAAGCCAGACTAGAACAATAACGCCTAGCTCACTGAGCCATCAGAGTCCTGAGAAGAAATTGCCCCCCTATCTGTTTGTGTTTTTATTGGTTAGTTGGATGTCTGTTGTTCCTTTCCATCTCTCCTATCTCTGTTTCTATTTCTCCTATCTATCTTCTTCCTCCCCTTTAGCATTACCATTGCTATTTTCTCTTCTCTTTCTGTTACACTCACTCCTCTGTCTCCTTTTCATTCCTCTTCCCCCACCTCATCCTGTTAGTTTGTTTCTCACCTTTGTTCTTTTCACATCTTTGTATCATCCTTCTCTTTCCTTTTATCCCTTCCTTTCACTCCCAGTATTCTTCTGAGACATGCCCAGAGGGACCTAGTAGTTCGACAGAAATGTACATCTAATCCAGCCTGAAGATACCTCCCAGTAGACTTGTCCTTCGCATGTGTCTAAAAAGCAGTGCTCTACATGAGACTTTTGACTACCACAGGCTGAGATATTGAATCCCATACTACTTAGAGGGGAACAGAAAACCAGAAACTCCTAGAGCAAATAAAAGCGCAAGACAGGCCCTCCCTGGTGGCGCATCGGGTTAAAGCACAACACTGAGAAGCTAAAGCCACTTCCGCATGAGTTCGATTCCCCGCCTGCCCCGGGGGTGACCACATGGCGTGGCAGACCTCTCCTGACCCGCCTGCTGCTCCCCTCAGCAGTGTACTTCGTTGATCTGCCTGTTCTGCTCCCCACTCTGTCTCTGGTGAAGCCTCTCGCCGCCCCTGCACCTCTGGCCTGTACCCCAGTCTGTATGCATAAATAAATAAATCTTTTAAAAAAAAAGCGCAAGACAATGTCTACTATAACTGAAGAGTGTCCAGAGGTGCACCCAGATGAGAACTGCAAGCCGCCCCTCCCCACTCCCAAGTCCAGTAGCCCCCAACACCCATGGAAGAGTAACAGGAGCTACCACCTGCCTGTAGCAGAGTTACAGCTAAAAAGAGAGAAGGGGGAAGCTACAATAGCCCTCACCTACAATTCTACCCACCAGCAACAGTGGCTCAGACACTAAACAGATGCATCCACACCTCAGTGCAAATCAGAAGTCATGCCCACCAGCACCAGGAACATTTTGAAGAGAACAAAGCCAAAGGCTAACAATGGGAAGAAAGAAAAATATAAGTGGGAGCAATATTCCAACTAAAGAAATTCAACCTCCAGAACCCTATAATATGGGCATGGAACAATATCTCTACCTACAGGTGTGGAATTTTAAAATTTCATTATGAATATGATTAAAGAGTTAAGAGAAAACCCAAAGAGAGTTTTATGTAAGAATTATATAAGAATTAAGAATATAGTCAAATGAACTGAGGAATGACAAAGAATCCCTAAAGAAGAAAGTAAAGGAACTGAAGGGTATTCAGAGATTAGAAAAAGAGGTCAAGGTTTATAGGAAAAGCCATGAAAATAGCATAGAAGAAATTGAAGAATGAATCAGTACTCATGAACATACAGACATTAAAAGAACCAAAATATAAATAAATAAAAAGAAAGAGACGTACAAAGGAAAAAGAATGAAGAAACATTTTTGAGAACTCTCTGACACAACGAGGAAAGGAAATATAAAAGTTATAGGAATCCCAGAAGTGAGGGGAAAGAAAATATTCAAGGAGATAATTGAAGAGAACTTCCCAAGAATGAAGAAAGAAATGACAATAAGGCCCTCCCTGGTGGCGCAGTGGGTTAAAGCACTGAGGAAGCTTACGCCACTGCCGCATGAATTCGAGCCCCACCTGCCCCGGAGGTGACCACATGGCGTGGCAGACCTCTCCTGACCCGCCCTCTGCTCCCCTCATTGTACTTCGTCAATCTGCCTGTTCTGCTCCCCGCTCTGTCCCTGGTGAATCCTCTCACCCTCTGCATCTCTGGCCTCTACCCCAATTCTGTATGAATAAATAAAAAAACTAAAAAAAAAAAAAGAAGAAATGACAATAGACATATAGGAAGCCAGAAGAACACAAAGTTACCACAATAAAAGGAAAACTGCAGCAAGACATATAAAGTTTCCAAAAGTCCAAGACAAGGAAACTGACAAGACAGATGAAACAGATAACCTATAGGGGAAACCAATTAAACTAACATCAGACTTCTCCAAAAAAATAAAACACTATGGGCAAGAAGAGAACAGAGTGAAATGTTTAACAAACTGCAAGTCAACAAATGCCAACTAAGATTATTTTATTCTGAAAAGCTCTACTTCCTCTCTGAAGAAAAAAAAAAAACACCTTCTCAGATACACAAAATCTCCAGAAATTCATTACTACTAAGCCCCAACTCCAAAAAAAAATCACAAGAAGCCCTAAAGCCAAAACCAACAGAGCAATGAATAGGAAGAATAGAATAAGGTAAGAAATAAAATCACAAAAAGGGAACAAAATGTCAAATACGATGCCAGTATCAGTATTGACTCTAAATGTAAATGGCCTAAACTCACCAATAAAAAGGCACAGAGCTGCAGGCTAGACTAAAATAAAACAAAATCCAACCTCTTTCTGTCTACAAAAAACACATTTAACTGCAAAAGATAAACATAGACTGAAAGTAAAATGTTGGGTCCCAGCCGGGATGAGCCTCTCCAACCACCCTCGGAGCTTAAGCACAAGATCATAACAGGAAGAAAAACATCCTGTTTTGTCTGCCACCTGTGTGAGTTGATCAACCTGTGAGTGGCTGGTCAATATCTGCCCTGATCACAGTGAGGCATGTGAAGGAGACTTCCTCTGGCCCCCAGGCCAACACCCTGGTACTAAGGGTATAAAAGGGAGGCTGGAGAGAAAAATAAAGACGTTTGCTGCAACCATCTACATGAGCTGATTCTTCAACCTCGACGTCCCCCTCTCAGACTCGTATCCCTGCCGTGCGGGCGCGGCAGTAAAAGGTTGTAAAACAACCCTACAAGCAAATGGACCAAATAATGAGGCAGGAACAGCTATACTTACATCAGGTAAATAGACTTCAAACTAAAAAAGGTAAAAAGAGACATGGATGGTCACTACATTATGACTAAGGGGACAATAGGTCAAGAAGACATAACTCTCATCAACATATACTAACCAAATGAAGAAACACCAAAATATATCAGGCATTTATTATCATCTCTAAAAACAGACAGTAGAGAAAAATACATATGTAGTAGAAGACCTTAACATACCAATCTCACAACGCATAGATAAATGAGATTATTAAAAAAAAAAAAAAAAAAAAAAGGCAAGGACACTAGAGCTCTAAATAAAATAAGGACCTAGACCTCATGGGCTTAACAGACTACTGTAGGCCACAGCACTAAAAAAAATCCAAGTACACATTTTTCTCAAGTGCACATGGATTGGTCACATACTGAGACACAAGACACACATCAACAGATATGCTAAGATCAAAATCATACCAAATATCCTCTCTGAACATAAAGACTTTAAAATAGAAATAAATCATGAAAAGAAAGCAAGAAACCCTCCTATTTCATGGAAATTGAAACCCACACTGCTAGAAGACCAATGAATCAATGAGGAGATGAAAAAGAAATTAAAAAATACTTTGATATGAACAATGATAAGGACACAACCCTCCAATACACATAGAAAACAGCAAAAGCAGATAAAAGATGAAAGCATATAGCAATAAAGCTCAAATGAAGAAACAAGAAAGAACTCAAAGAAGGAATTTAATCTCTCATCTTGAAGAACTGGAAAGAGAACAACAACAAAAAAGCTAATAGAAGAAAGGAAATAACAAATATCAAAGCAGAAATAATTGAAATAAATGTTAAAAAAAATCAATCCAGGGCTCTCCCTGGTGTCCAACAGGTTAAAGCATTGCATTATGAAGCTCTCCAAAGCCACTGCAGCACTAGTTTGATCCGTGGCTAGGGAGCTGACCCACATGGCATTGCAGACCTCTTCTGACCCACCCACTGCTCCCCTCAGCAGTGTACTTTGTCAAACTGCCTGTTCTGCTCCCCACTCTGTTTCCGGTGAATCCTTTCACCCACCACACCTCTGGCTTGTACCTAAATTCGGTAAGCATAAATAAATAAATCTTAAAAAAGAAAATCAATCTAAAATATCAACAAATCAATGGTTGGTTTATTGAAAAAACAAACAAAATAGACAAACCTCTGGCCAGTCTCACAAAAAATGAGAGAATGCACAAGTAAATAGGATCATAAATAAAAGAAGAAAAATTACAACAGACACTGCAAAAATCAAAAGAATAATTAGAGATTACTATGAACAGTTACATGGAAACAATTTCAAGAGGGTCAAATTCTTAGAACTATACAA